CGTCTTCAGCAGGCATCACTTACCAGTTTATTACCATGGAGACAAAGCCCTGTCTGTCCTCTGCATTTCCAAGTGGTTTATTAACCTTTGACTACTCATAGAGATTGGTACATCTTCTCCACCAACTAAAAGCCACTTGAAGGAAGGAGGAGGAGGAAGAGGGGGAGGCAGTCATTCACTTTTTCTTACTGATTCAGACCAAGGTTCTCTACAGCAGGAAGTAGTAAAATATGGTTTCTAGGATTTGGGTCTGTGGGGTGAATCCCAACAAGTGATTTCACTGTCCTGTGCCTCAGTTTCTTCTTTTGTGAAATGAGCTAATTGTTTGTATCACATTTTAAAAAGTAGTGCTGAAAAGCAAGAGATAACCAAAATGGGAGAGGCTGTATGGACCGTAAGGGAAAGTTAAATGAAGACGGCTGAACTGACAATCTCAAAGCATTTCTGCTAAAATCAAGAGCAAGGCAAGGTTGTCCACCCTCTCCATACCTGTTTAATATAATAATAATAATAATAATAATAATAATAATAATAAGACAACTAAAGGAGATCAATGGGATACAAATAGAAAAAAGGGGTCAAAGTATCTTTAGATAGTATTATATAGTAGTATATACAATTATATGATAGATTATATAATAGATTATCCAACAGTATATATAGGAGACCCTAAAAATCCCACCAGGAAATCTACACAGCTGAAAAACACATTCAGCAAAGTAGCAGAATACAAAATCAGTAGCCTTCCTATATACAAATGACAAACTGAGAAAGAAAGACCTCACAGATACACTAGATCAGATAGAAGAGAAAGCAGGGAATAGACTATGCAGGATCTTTCTGAGTAGAACACCATTAGCACAGGCACTAAGATCAACTAACAAATGGGACCTCATGAAACGGAAAAGCTACTATATGGCAAAGGTGTCTACTATTAGGACAAGGTGGTAACCTAAAAAAATAGGAAAAGAGTTTACCAACTACACATCCAATAGAGATCTAATATCCAAAATATATAAAGAACTATAAAAAAAACCCTGAACATCAAGAAAACAAATAACCCAGTTTAAAAATTGGGTACAGATCTAAACAAAGTTCTCAAAAGAGGAAAATCAAATGGTTTTAAAGAACTTAGCTCCTTAGTCATCCAGGGAATGTAAATCAAAACTACTCTGAGATTTTTTTGAACACCAGTCAGAATGGCCAAGATCAATACAACAAATGGCAGCTCACGTTGGTGAGAACAGGGACTAAGGGGATACTCATCCATTGCTGGTGAGTTTAAACTTGCACAACCACTGTGGAAATCAGCATGTTAGTTCCTCAGGAAAAACTACCTCAAGACCCAGGCAGACCACTCTTGGACACAAACCCAAAGGATGCCTTATCCTACTACAGAGACACTTGCTCAATCGTGTTCATTGCTGCTCTATACATAACAGCCAGGAATTGGAAACAGCCTAGATGTCCATCAATGGACCAAATGAAGCTTCCAGTGCCAGGAATGGGTTTCATCCAATCAAGCTGTTAACCAAAGGAGCCCTATAGGACCCCCCAAACAACCCAGGCTGGTCCAAGGCTATTGTTTACTCTCTACAAACTGACACTAAGGTCCTATTGCTGAAGACAATACCTATACAACTGATTGAACATGGAACTGATTGAACATGGAACTGATTGAACATGGAAGAATTAAGCTGGGCCTTCACAGTAATGGAAGGTACTCTGCATGCTACCAAAGGAAAAAGGTAAACACCAATTCAGCTAGAAACCCTTTGATCTATAATGGTGACCTGCCTGTAAGATGAGGTAGTGCAGCAGTTCTCAACCTGCGGGTCATGACTCCCTTGGGGTCAAAAGACCCTCTCTTAAGGGTCACCTAAGACCATCAGCAAACACAGATATTTACAATACGGTCCACAATAGTACACTCATGAAGATGCAATGAAAATAATTTTATGCTTTGGGGCCAACACAGTGTGAGGAACAGTATTAAAAGGTCACAGCATCAGGAAGGTTGAGAATGACTGTCTTAGTGCAATAGTGACAGAAAGTTTATGGTAGTAACCAATCAGTATCTGATTGGACTTAAGGCCCACTCTGTGATATGGCACTCATTCCTGACACTGCTTGGGTGGGCAAGAACCTGAGACCAGATATGCCATCTACCTAGGTGAAAAACAGATACCACTGTTCTGCTAAAGGAACATAGCCACATAATAACTCTTAATGACATCCTGCTATACTCATAGATCAGTGTCTTGCTCAGCCTTCATCAGAGAAGCTTCCTCCTGCAGCAGATGGGAACAAATACAGAGACTCAGAGCTGGACAATGTGCAGAGAGCGAGAGACCTAGCTAATGGGGTGTCTCCATCAAATCCCGACCCCGGGCTAAGGGAACCAAGTGGAAAAGGAGGCAGAGAGATTGTAAGAGCCAGAGGGGATGGAGGACACCAAGGAAACGAGGCCTTCAACACACAGCAGCACCAATGCACATAAGAACTCACAGAGACTAGTGAGGCAGCGCGCACAGGGCCTGCATGGGTTCACACCAGATGAGAGGAGGCATGGACACATGCTCCTATCTCTAACCTGAAAGCTCTCTCCAACTGATGCCCACTCACAAATGAGAGCTTGGTTCTCTCTAATCGATACACACCACTCTAAAGACCAGGCCTCCCCATGCCCAGCAGTAAATGGACAACACAAAACAAACTTCACAGCATCTTTGGGGGCTCTTTGTCCCATAAGGTTTCTTCAGTTTTGTGTTTTTAAAGGATTCCTATGTGTGTGAACATTTGTGTCTCTGTACCTGTATGTGTTTCTTGGGCTTTTGCTTTTTTTTTTTCTGTCTTTTTGTTTTGTCCTATTTTAATTTGTTTTTGTTTTATTCTTATTTTGTTCTTTAGATTCCCTTTCCCCCGCCCCAAGGAGAGACAGACAGGGTGTGGATTCTGACAGGAGGGGAACTGGGTAGGATCTGGGCAGAGTTTGGGAAGGGGAAACATTGTATGAAAAACAAATTATTTTCAATAAAAGAAAAACCCTGTTGGGCTGCTGAAATATATATTGAAATCCTCCTCCAATTTCCCAGGGACCCTGAAGAAGGGGCAGAAAGTGACAGCACCAGAGTCAGTGGATGACTACAGGGGGACAGTGTCTTCTGGACACAGCGGGGCAGCTGCACCTCCACAGCGGTTGTGACAAAGAGCACAAGGCCTATGCAAGTCACAGCAGGTCCAAATCCCAGCACGAAGAAGGAGACAGGAGCACGGAGAGGGAGGCGGGAGCACGGAGAGGGAGGCGGGAGCACGGAGAGGGAGGCGGGAGCACGGAGAGGGAGGCGGGAGCACAGAGAGGGAGGCGGGAGCACGGAGGGGGAGGCGGGAGCACGGAGAGGGAGGCGGGAGCACGGAGAGGGAGGCGGGAGCACAGAGAGGGAGGCGGGAGCACGGAGAGGGAGGCGGGAGCACGGAGAGGGAGTCGGGAGCACCGAGGGGGAGGCAGGAGCACGGAGGGGGAGGCGGGAGCACGGAGGGGGAGGTGGGCATGGCACGGAGAGGGAGGCGGGAGCACGGAGGGGGAGGCGGGAGCACGGAGAGGGAGGCGGGAGCACGGAAGGGGAGGCGGGAGCACGGAGAGGGAGGCGGGAGCACGGAGGGGGAGGCGGGAGCACGGAGGGGGAGGCGGGAGCACGGAGGGGGAGGCGGGAGCACGGAGAGGGAGGTGGGAGCACAGAGGGGGAGGCGGGAGCACGGAGAGGGAGGCGGGAGCACGGAAAGGGGGTGGGAGCAACTCTGCACGTGGCCTGGGGAGGGAATGGCGTATATTGATTGAGGCTGTGGAAGACTCGGGCAGGGCGTCCTCTATTTGGCTGCAGGAAGCCCTCATACCTGCTGCTAAGGCTTTCCAGGTACAGCCAGTTGAGGGAGGAGCACCCACATCCTGTAGGTAACCCCTCACCTATGCCCTGTCAGGAAGTCCAATAAATTCCTCGGTTCCCCAGAGAAAACTCCTGTGGAATCAATCGGCGCAATGGACGCAGTGTAATATTTCTCTCATGGGTGTTGTTTGTGTTTGTGCAACCCCAGTTTCCACCCTTTCCCAGCCTCTTGGCCACACTGTATACTTCAAATACACGGCAACTAGCAGTGCTTGTTCTACGCCTGAACTGTGGGCCTTGAAGTATTAACCTGTGGACTAGTTCTCAACAAACTGCCACAGCCTTGACACCTGCAAACAGCAGAACTGTCACACATTCCCAGAGGCCAGAAGTCTGGTGATAGTGGATGGTGTCAACCAAGCTCCCTGCAGAGGCTCAGGAAGAATGTGCTCCCACCCAGATTCTGGAAGCTGTCAGGATTCTTGGTGTTCCTTTGATTGTGTCTGCAGTCCATCCACCGTTTGCCTCTGACCCCAAACTGAAGACTTCTCCGGTGTGTCCCATGCTCCTTCAGTGATCTTTTGAGGTATTCAGGCCCCTCCCAGGCAATTCCAGATGACCCCTTTATCTCAGGATCCTTAATGTAGCCAAATCTTCAGAAATTTTTACCACATAAACCGTCAGGCAGAGATTCCAGAGATTCCGAACTGATTTCTTTGAGGTATCACTCAGCCTACCATGACCCCTTATGAGGTGACAGACTACCCTGGCTTTCCAGGGGTACCTCCTCCTTTCCCAGCTGAAGAGAAGAGAAAAGGAAGGCAAACAACTGTGATTTCATTTAGAATGCCTAGAGTCAAAGGGAGGATTCAGCATCTTGTTTCTTAGACCACTTGCAACAGCAACAACAAAACCAACCTGGTTAGTCAAGAATTATGTTGAGGACACCCATGAACTGAGATTTTCTACATAATTACACACACACACACACACACACACACACACACACACCCCACAAATCCAATTGTGGAGGGGTGACATACAACATAAGGGTCCTCTGGATTAAAAGTTGATTAGTCTGTGTTTAGTTGCAGTACCAAAATACCTGAAGCCAGATCATCTGTAGGGAGAAGAGGTTTATTTAGTTCTGGAGTCCCAAGAGCTTGGAAGCAAGTTCTGCATGGCTTTGGTGAGGTACCCAAAGTGTATACCTCCCTGATGGTGAGTACTGGAGGGCAGACAGGAGGAGGGACTGGCCTGATTTTTACAACAACCACCTCCCCAGAACTAACTGGGGTCTCGGGAGGTCTGAATTCCTTCTGGAGGCAATGTCCCAAACATCTAATCTACACCATGATGCTTCACCTCCTGAAGGCTCCATTGCTGTTACATTCACAGCATCACACTGAGGCCCAGGCTGCTATTGTATGAGCTGAGACGAGGACAGACTACGTCAAATGATAGCAGACAGAAAGTGAATATTAGAAAGAAAAGAGAACACAGTAAATCATTTGTCCAAGCTTGCCATAGAAGACATGAAGATGAAAATTCCTGGGACCCGTCTGTGTATTTGTCCACAGGGTAAGTGGTTAGGAACCCCAATTCCCAAGTGCTTTTAATGGGATGGACAACATGATTGGCATTGCTGTCCTGGACCAGGGTCGGTGAACTTACCCCATGTAAACTGAAGTAACACAATTTGTTTCTCTTTAAAAAAAAAAAAAAAGACTTCATATAGAATGTACCAATCTCAGGATCACAGAAATGTAGTCCTGTGTTTACTTTGACATTTTCAGCCTTCATCTTGACAAGGGTTTTTCCTCAGATCTTAGGTCCTCTCGGGATGGAGAAGAGTCTGACAACGGGGCTGGTGACATCAAGCTGTGACACAGTGTTCCCTGCCCAGCCCACCGTGTGGTGATCTCCTTCTCTTCCGTGTGGCTAGGAGAGAAAGTGTGTTTAATAGAGGAGTTGGAGGGTGGTGCAGTGGTTAAGAGCACTTAACTGCTCTTCTGGGGATCTGGGGTTCAGTTCCCAGCACCCACATCTAGTGGCTCACGACTCCCTGTAACCCTAGTTCCAGGGAACCTGACTTCTTGTCTCTCTGACACCTACACATGTGTGGTGCACATAAACTCACAGACATACACAAGAATAAAACCTGGAGAGTCCCAGTCTCTGGGTTCTCAATGCTTCCTGCATAGTTTGGAAGGGCTAAAAGAATTTCTTCTAGAAATTGCCATCTTGAATAAGAAAGTGTAAAGCCTGTCTGCATTCTCTTCCCTTTCCTTGTGCCTCTGTCCTCCGCACGTGCCCCACCTCAGAACTTATACAGATACCAAACTAAACAGTTGTTCATTAGCTGAGACCATAAACGATCTCAGAGGATGCATAACCGTCGATGGTGGAATTTTGGATGCTGTGACAGGAAACAGGAAGTGCAATGTGGGGTTGTGGGGTCTGTCCTTAAGCTTTGAGGCACTTGTCCAATGACTCAGAGACCACACCCGCCCACTCAGCCCACTCACAGGGCCGCTGCTGGGTAGGCTGACCATGCCAGCCTGCATACACTTCCTCCTCAGCTAGAAGTGAGAGGCTAGGGAGGACATCTCAGTCGCTATAATGCCTACCTAGGAGGTGCAGGAAGGCCGGGGCAGAATGAACCAGCCCCTGTGCTGGAGAGATGGCTCGGTGCTTAAAAGCCCTTCTTCGTTTGGCAGAGGACCTGGCCTCAGATGCCAGCACCCATACCAGCTCCAGGGATGAGTGTCTTCTCAACTCCAAGGGTGCTCGCGATCACATGCATATACCTGAACAGACAGATACACAAGATTAAAAATAAAATAAGGTCTTAAATGAACTAGCACCGGCAGACCTCACTGCTGATCCTCACTCAGGATCCACTGTGGAATTGTGTTAGGGAAGAAGTCTCTACTCACAGTCAGAAATGAATCACTGGCTGGCAAGGTACTCATCAACTAAAGGAGCTTCCCACAAAGCTGACAACCTGAGTTTGATCCCTGGGACTCGGATGATGGAAGGAGACTGCAGACTCCTGACCTCCACACGCAGGCTATGTATGGTGCAGGCGCTTGCGCACACAGACACACACACCATTATACACATGACACCACACACACACGACACACATACACACAGGTCACTACACACACCACACACACACACACATTATACATTCATGACACCACACACACACACCATTATACACACATGACACACACACACACCACACACACACAGGTCACTACACACAACTACACATACACACACACCACTATACATATACATGACACTATGCATACACAGGACACTAGACACACACCACACACACATGACACACACATACATTATACACACATGATACCACACACATACAACATCCACATATGACACTACACACACATTCACACATACAGTAATACACACATATTCACACACAGGACCCAATAGAATGTAAAATATAAAAACGAGGGCTGTAGAGATGGCTCAGAGGTTAGAAGCACTGACTGCCCTTCCAGAGGTCCTGAGTTCAATTCCCAGCAACCACATGGTGGCTCACAGCCATCTGTAATGAGATCTGGTGTCCTCTTCTGGTGTTCAGACATAATGGAAGCAAGATGTTGTGTTCACAATAAATAAATCTTTAAAAAATATAAAAACGAATCCCCCATTTTTAATGCATGTACTTTACTTATATAGAAATACCAAGAAAAAGATTGCGAGCATATTTCTAATAATGTATATCAGAAACAATGGCAGCATGATATGACAATGCTTCAGTGGAAGACAGACAGAACTCTGGGGAGGCAAAGCCTTGGAATGATTGCATGCTTATGTGTAACTAGTTAGAACCATCTTTGAGGCATCCATTCAGGAAGAGAATTCTGAGGTCGTGTGTATTGAAATAGGGAAAAAGTGGCATATCTATGTTTTTACTAACTTCTAAAAGAAAACTCATTTCCCCCCCCCCACTATGGCTATACACAGCAGGCCACAGAAGTATTAGCAGTGTCTGTGGCTGCCATGAAGAAAGGAGAATATTTGACCATTATTCTCGAAGGATTAAGCCCACATTGCTACCATAGCATTAATCTCTTTTGTGCTCACAGTTTGCAGAGCAAATATGAGTGTGCTTATTTCCTCTGTAATTCTATGCATCTTGTTTGGCACATTTGAAAACAGTGAGAAGGAATCTACAGGATTCAGCAGGTCAAGGCCTCCTAGATGGAGATGGCCTGTTTCTGCTGGGGCTACCCAGAAAGCCTTCCTCCTGAGACAGTGTGACACTTAGAGACAATGAGTGTGCTTCCATTGGTAATTCATCAGTTTCTTGAACATAGTCACCACAGATGAGCCCCCTGGATGAAGCCCCGGAAACTGAACGTGTGAAGCCCATGTTCAAAGTGACATTTCTCTGTGTGCCAGCATGAGTCAGGGAGGTGCTGAAAGTACTCTAGAGACAGGGGACTTGAAACATGGAGACTAATAATAGAATTCCTCCCACCTCAAGGCTTCAGTTCCTCCTACAGCCTTCCTGGTCACATGCAGGGTATCCTGAGAGGCTGAGCCTGGCTGTGAGACAGACAGTTGGAGAAGCTCAGCTTAGCCCCATGTGTTCTGAAGCTGTGACAGTGTCCTGAGCACAGCATGAGGGAGCAGAGGTGATCTGCCTGAATTCTTTCTGGAAAAAAAGACTCATGCCATTTGCCACCTACCCCACGGTTTATGTTAATCCTGAGAGTGTTGCCTTGCTGTTTCACAAGCAGTTATCAAGCTTTGTTAACAGCACAGGGTCAAATCCACCAGCTGTTGAGGGAATCCTACAGACCCATAGTCTCTGCTCTCACATTCACGAGTCTCCTTTTCCACTGACTACTGAGTTAGCTTCATGCTGCAAATTGCATATGGTTTCCTAATGCGGTATATCATTGGATTACATGGTACCTTCACATTTTTAGAGCCGGAAGAACAATTTTTGCTTCCCACGGGGTTTTAGCAATTTATTAGCCCTTGAATTCCAAATCCATGCTTGGTGTGACTTTTGGTAGGAGTGAGTATGTTGAGAATGATGAAGCAAGACAGCTATTCATGTCACCCAAACTAGGTATGACCCAAAAGCCCACCAAGAGAAGATGAAGTGGAATGATATGATTTGTAATACATTCTACAAGGGTGTCCTGTATCGCGATGCATCTGAACTGTTGCTCTCCGCATGGACCAATCTCACAAACAGAAGACAATAACCAGAGAGAAGAGAATAACTGCTGAATGGTTCCATTTATGCAGAGTTCAGCCACAGGTAAAGCAGGCTTCACTGTTAGAGGTCAGAGCTGTGACGACTTGGGAATATGAGCAGTGGCTGGAACAAGACAAGAGAGGGTTTGGGGTATAAGCAAGGACTCTGCTGCGTGATTTGGATGCTGGTTACATGCAGGTTTGTGTGTGTGTGTGTGTGTGTGTGTGTGTGTGTGTGTGTGTGAAAATTTATAGAGCTGCACATTTTGAATTTGTGTATTTTTTCTGTGTCTATGCTATATGTGAAACAAAAATCTAGGACTAAAAGTTAAGACCTAGACATGGTAGGTAGCTCAGTCAGGTTCTCTTTGAAGCAAGAGGACCTGAGTTTGATTCCCAGAACACACGTTTTTAAGAAGTTGGGCATGGTGGTGTGTGTTTGCAATGCCTGCACCGAGGAGGAAGAGAGACAGAAGTAGGTAGATCCCTAGGCTTTTTCTGTCAGCCAGCCTAGTCTAGGTGAGTTGTAGGCCAGTCAAAGACCTTGTGGCAAAAGATAAAAGGAAAGAAAATGGATGATTCTTGAGGAATGAAACCCAGGATTGTTCCTCTGACAGACAGATGCTCGCACGCACGCATACACCACACACACCCTGAGCGTGCGAAAGAAATGTGGCTTTTGCTTTTGATGAGTAATGCAGAGTACACATGTTCCTGGGGGCGCTGGTAATATCTGAAAACAGTGTCATGACATCAGAAATTTTTAATTGGGATTTGTTTTCCTAATAAGGAGTCACCAGAAAATAACCTATCCTGCCTCCTTTCTCTGATTGGGTTATAGTCCTTTTTGCTTGATTTTTTAAAATATAAATGGAAGATATTCTTAAACCAACTAGGATCCATTCTGATGACTTGTTTAAGTGACCATAACTAGAGAGCAATGCTGTGGCCTGCCCTACAGAGAGCTTCTCTCTGTCAGTCAGGGTGACCAGGCTCTGCTTTGATAAGGGCATCAGCTAACCCTCTACATTTGCCTGCACTATGTGCTCAGCGTGGGGCCAAGCCCGCAGAGCCTCCTTCTAATTGGCCAGCCCACAGAGAACCCTTGTCTCCTAATTGGTAGCTCCTCGTGGGAGCCATTTTCTAAGCAGGGCTAAGCAGAGCTGTGATATGGCTTCCAGGGCCCTCCCTCCGTTCCTGGAACCATCTGCTGGGGCTGTTAAAGGGAGCACTACCCCTCCCTCCTTCTCTTTCGCCACCTTTGCATAGAAAACTTGTGGGACACCCTTTCTTCGTTTTCTTTCTGCCTTTCTGCCCACCCACCGCCCAGCACAGTGCAGATCAGCTCTTTGCTGGTGATGTAAAAAACAAGAAGCATGTTAAGGAGCTGCTGAAGCTAGGTTCCTACCACAATACCCTGTGTCTACAACAACGAAGGCACGGCGGGTTCTCCATGGCTCTTTTGGGATTTCACGTTTCAACTATCCCTGGCGTAGGATCTTCATTCTGCTTCTTAGTGTGCTACCCTGGAAATACATCAGGTGTTGTTAGAGCCCACACCTGAATCTGGCAGGCTGCCTCCTAAAGCCTTTGGCAAGTTATTTCCCCATCGTTCCAGGAAGTTCTTAACCATAAAATGGGACCGATAGCATCTCCCTTGTAAGGGACTAGGGAGGGTTATATAAACAAAATGAATGTTGCTTGGAGAACGGTGTTTGTAGATAGTACCTCATATTAATTTACTCACCCAATAAACATCCCATTAGCTCGGAACAGATACCAGAAACCAGGACTGCTACAGAGATGCACAAAAGAGTTCCCACTCTCACCTCTGGTAGTGGATCAGTATTCATTCCTCCTACACAATGGACTTTGGGAGCCCATTCCACATAGAGGGATGCTCTCTCAGCCTGGACACACAGGGGGGAGGGGGAGCCTAGGCCACTCTCCAAATGATATGACAGACTTTGAAGATTCCCCCATGGAAGGTCTCACCCTCCTTGGGGAGCAGAAAGGGGGTGGGATATGAGGTTGGTGGGGGACAGGGGAGGAGGGGGAGGGAGAGAAAACTGGGATTGACATGTAAAACAAGCTTGTTTCTAATTTAAATTTAAAAAATCCGTAAAAAAAAAAAAAAGAGTTCCCACTCTCAGTGCAGACTCTCATGGGAAAGTTCTTATCACCACTAAATGCGAAAGAGCTGTCATAGTAATTTAAAGAGAAGTACATGCAGGTCTCTCCATGGACTTACCATGTGGTTATTTCAGCAGCCCGCTCCGTCTTTGTAGGAATGTGATTCTTTTATTAGTATCTATACATATTAACCACAGTGCATGTGGCTGTTAAACTTTACCTATTGTAATTCTCTATGCAAAGAGTGGTCTGCTATAAAATTATAGCTATATCTATTCATGGAGATAATTACTTCTGGGACACAGGGTTTGAGATAGCCTTTCAAGTTTCCTCTTTGAAGGTTTCTATGATGTTTGGATTCTCTAGCACTAGGGATCACTTCAGGAGCATTACCATAGTCAGGTTTGATGAACTAGAATTGTGAAAGTGAACACAAAATGGAAAAACAGGGAATGCCAGAGTTGGAGGGGGAAGTTGGGAGACTGGGGAGTACAGTAAATCTTACAAGGATCAAAACGTAAGAATGTCCCCTTCCACTTGCAGATAATGACAGGCCCAAGTGGGTCTCCAGGTGAGTGCTGTGGCACTCTTGAGGAAAAACAGATCCTTGGCTGTAGTCTAAGTTACCCAAAAAAGACAAAGGGTAATAGATGCCAAGTTCATTTTATGGTATCGATACAATCAGAAGCACACAATGTTAAAAGAGAACGAAAATTATAAGCAGCTTCCCTTACCCAAGTAAATGTGCAAAAAAGCTTTTAAAATATTAACT